TTATGAAGACAAAATAAAGTATACACTGTTCTTTGATAGGTACAAATATTTGTTGATAACTGCATGGAAAAACCCCAGTGAGTATATACCATAACGACAAAAGTAATAACACCTAGGAAAGAAATTAAAATGAAGATAAGAAAGAAAGACCTTTAGTTTTACCTGTAATGTTTTAATTTCTATATGAGAAAATAACATGTAATCTTAAAATGCTTTAAAAAGAGGAAATTGAGAGTATCTAGCCATTTTTAAGTGGGTAAAAGAGAATTCTTAACTTGGGTTACCTAAGTAATCCAAAAAGTCTTTAATATTTTATGAAAAATTTTACTCCATCTACATTTTTTCTTGTACAGAGGATACACCTGAAGGAAGGGTTTGTGATGGCAAGGATTCTGACTCAAACCTATGCATGTAATTACTGAGAATCTGTGAGGAAACAGAGAGAAAATAATAGATGACTAGCAGACTGGATGAGAGAAAATGTGGTATTGATTTTCACTAAACTGGGACAAAGGAAAACTTTAGAAACTAGAGATCTACAAATCTAATATGGATGCTGGGCAAAAGTCCAAAACAAATTATTAAACAGACTTCAAAATACCAAAAATGGAAGATGCATCACAAAGAGGTTGAGCAACAACAAAAGAAAAGCACTTCTTAAAAATCTGATTTTCATGATGGTAGCTCAAGGAACCATTTAACATCTTTTTAAAGTGTCCCAGGGGAGCGAGAACAAGATAAAAAATATGGCAGCACCAGAGTCCTCTGGAGAAATTCGTGGGAGGTACCCCAAATCCACACCGCCTTACTCGTCTCACTCATACTTAGGATGGCTGCCTCCCCTCCTGAATGGCTAAGGGCTCCTTTGTGTGTAAATGCCTCTTGACACCCACTTGTTCACCATAATGCTGCCTCTTGGATATCGGCCAAATTCTGACATCTGCTATTTCAGGTGAGGAGATGGTCTAAAAACAGCATCCTGTGCTTTTATATCTTTAAGACAGTCAACAAATTCCCTCAAATTTTCTTGGCAGATGAAAATGCAGATGGGTGACAAAAAAGCTATGGAAGAATTTAGCTGAGTTATAGGTATGCATGGATTCTCATATGGGTGAATAACTTAAAAAGTTGTTTAACAGATCGATGTAAAGATAAAGAAAGGCTTCTAAGGGCATATCAAAGTCTGACTGCCATGTTCAACAGTCATCAATTGAATGACAACTTATTACACAATTACCAAATTGGCAATTGGCAAATAACAGGGACTGGTCATTCATATGTTGGATGTCAGAATCAAAAACTGGAACACTGAGCTAACAAAATAAAGACTATGAAATTGAACAAAGAAAATGTAAATACCTACATTGCACTTTTCTCTTTATTTAAAAAATTAATGTGAACCTAATTTAACATTAATAATATAGACAGGCACATAGGATAAATCCTAAAGGATCGTTTGTGGCCTAGAAGGCCTAAAATACTTACTATGAGACCCTTCACAGAAAAATGTTGCCAACCTCTGGTCTTGACCAGTAAGTCTTTTCTCAAGAATATGTCCTATCTCTGAATCTGAGCACAAAAATCAAAGACATTAAGTAAACATTCTGCAAGGTTAAATTTAAATTGGAACAGGGATACAGATTCACAATTCTGAAACTGTATTACATATATACTGGGTTTAAACAAATACATATATGGCCTGGCTCAGCAGTTGAGCATGACCTAGGATCCAGGATATCTCAGTTCGATTCCCAGTCAGGGCACATGCCTGGGTCGCAGGCTCAGTTCCCAGTGAGGGACATGTAGGAGGCAGCTGATCAATGACTCTCTCATCATTGATGTTTCTGTCTCTCTCTCCCTCTCCCTTCCTCTCTCTGAAATCGATAAAGATATATTTTTAAAAAAACAACAACAAAATACAAATCCAGATGGGTGGTAGGAGTCACGTTCTCACTGTTGGAAGGTTGGAGGTTTTCAAGGAGGAAGGAGACAGAAGCCTAGAGTGAACCAACATGTACTGGATTAGTCAGAGACTTGAGTATGAGCATCTATTTAGCTTAAAATAGATGCAAAAGAATACAGAAACAATTCTAGATCTAGTGTATACACAGGTTCATATACATGCATATACTTCTAGCTCTGTTGTCTGAGAAAAGCGGTGATACCCCAAGAGCAACAGGCACATCGAGAACCTAGCTCTTGTTCTCTGATACCATTCTCCTAAGAAATCTGACTGATTCTAGGACGGGGCAGGAAAAAATATAACATGAGTCTGGAGCATCTTATAGTACCAAAAAGTAAGGAAGTACTAAAAAAAAAAAAAAAGAATAGAAAAGAGGCATGTCAAAGAAAGGAATATAAGAGCCAAACTGAAATAGCTCCCAATAGCCACAAAGGGAATAACATGAGCAACAAAATAAGTAACATAGTATTAATATTGGCTTACAACCCAAGGTATGAAATAAATAGCCAGTAGTTGACACTGGTAGGAAAAAAACTGACTAAATAAATAAATATGTGGGGAAAAGAGACAATTCTTCCTTATAGATGAATTTCAAGTAGTTTATGTAAATACCACTTTCTCACGAAGCAAAGCTTAATTTTTCAACTCTCTCAAGTGTGAACAGCACTTACTGACTTGCTTCCAAAGAATCAGCATATAGAAAGGAGAGGAAAAAGTAACGTTACAGTGGAGACACTTACAAACAGGACAGCGTGTACCCCTGATATGTGGTAAGAGGGGCACTTCACCTGTCATATTCAGCCCCAAACCCACAGCCCCCCTCTAACCATGAGAAAGGCATCATAAAAAACAAATCGAGGGACGTTCTACAAAAGACTTGACCAGGACACCTCAGAGCTGTCCAGGTCATGAGAAACGAGGGAAGACAGAAACTATCATGAAGACTAAATGCAATGTGGTGCCTTGGAAGGGATATTAGTAAAAAAAAAAAAAAGTGAAATCCAAATAAAGTTTGGAGTTTATTCAATAGTACTGTACCAATATTGGTTTAGTTGTCACAAATGTAGAATGGTAATGTCAAATGTTAACAGTTAAAGAAACTGGTTAGGGGTATACCTGAATTCTGGATTAACTTTGCAGCTTTCCGTAAATTAAAAAATATACTAAAATTTTGAAATGGAAATATCAATATGATCTTGTCATTTATTTTTTAAATTTTTAAATCGATTTTAGTCTGCCCGGGTGTGGCTCAGCGGTTGAGCGTCGACCTATAATCCAGGAGATCACGGTTCGATTCCTGGTCAGGGCACATGCCCAACTTGCGGGCTTGATCCCCGATTGGGGGCGTGCAGGAGGCAGCCGATCAATGACGACCCTCTCATCATTGATGTTTCTATCCCTCTCTCTCTCTCTCCCTCTCCCTTCCTCTCTGTGAAATCAATAAAGATATATTTTTAAAATAATTTTTTTAATTGATTTTAGAGAGAGACAGGGAGAAAAAGAGAGAGAAACACTGATCAGAGAGAAACAGCAATTGGCTGCCTCCTGCACGCCCCTGCCAGGGATTGAGCCCAAAACCCGGGCTTGTGCCCTGACCAGAAATCAAACTGGCAACCCTTCAGTGCACAGAACGATTCTCCAACCAACTGAGCCACGCCTGCCAGGAATGCTCCTGTTGTTTAAATATACACACATGCACACACATGTACCCATATTCACCACCTCTTTCCACTGGAAAGGCCAAGAAACAATAATACCCCAATTTCAATGAACATGTGTAACATCCAGATTTGGTCTCTAAATACCATTTCCACTAAAAAACACACAGGCCTCCATGGGACATGCTGACTCCAGGACTCGGAAAGGAATGTACCAGGAAGCCTACATCATGTCATGCAGGAAAATAATTATGCTTTTAAAGACTAATGAGGTCGTGTTGAAACCATAGAGCAATCAGGGACTCCCACTGGCCAAATCTGGGACAATTTAAACATCAAAAAGAATAATGACTGCAATTGACTGAAACACATGAAAATTCTAAAATCATAAATACTGATGCTCAGAAAAGGCAAAAAAAAAAAAAAAGAAAACCAACACCACCAATGACAGCAACAACTCATTTATCACCACTAGCCCTTAAGCTGAAAATGGGTAACTAAAGGGAAATAACTAAGCAGTTACCCTGCTTGTCCAGTACAAACTGTATTTCAAAATAAACAATCATACTGGTTAATGAGGAAAAGCTCTTTTAGAAAAATGTCAGCCAACAAACATAGATGAAATAATAGAATCAGAAGATCACCAACTTGCAACCCTCACTGAGATAACTGATTAAGGTACAAATGATCAATGGACAATAAAATTATTAAAGGAAGAGACAGCAAGAATCTGAATATTTACATTGTACCAAAGTATCTCTCCACAAAGGTCTGGCCTATCTCAAGTATATAATATTAATGTTTCCAACCTAATTCAGGAAACAACTTTAACTGCTAGTCACTAATAGTGGCAAAAACTGGACAATACATGCCACCTGCTGTGATCAAACATGAGTAATAATCAAGCCTTTGGATCCTCTATCGGAAACACTGGCGATAAAGAAACAGTGAGCCCTGGCCAGGTTCTCAGTGGTTAGAGCATCGCCCCATGCACCTAAGGGTCCCAGGTTCGACTCCCAGTCAGGGCACATACCCAGATTTCGGATTGGTCCCAGGTCAGGGTGCGTACAGGAGGCAACCTATCGATGTTTCTCTCTCACATCCATGTTTCTCTCTTCCTCTCTCTCTAGGATCAACGGGGAAAAACATCCTCAGGTGAAGATTAAAATAACAACAACAAAAGACAGAAAATGACTTAAAACACAGGTCAATGAAACTAAATGAAAGAAATTAAGGTACATTTTACTTTCACTTGAATACTGAGGGTGGTATTCAGTCATAAAAATGTGTTGCATTTTGGTACACGCCATTATAGATGGAATTCAAATGACAACAGCACTGTCTTCAAATGTGTGGGTATTAAGTTGAGCGATACATACCATTCACAGGGTTGAAGGGATCGAAATGCCTTAAAAGAAGCATCCATTCCAGCAAAATCCCAAAACTTAACATCATAGTCATATCCTCCAGTCACCAAGCGGGCACCGGAGGGATCCAGACCCAAAGCAGAAACCTGGTTTAAAAAAAAAAAATTCACTGGAGAAAAGCTACTGTCTGTTATAACCCCCATTTCCTTCCTCTAACCCCACCTCCCGTCTTATAGGCATTGGAACTGTAGACCAGCAAGTGTTGTTACTTCGGATAAGTGAGAATGGACAGCACCTTCTTTATTATTTGATTTTGGTGTTATGAGTTTATAATAAAAAGAAAAATATTTTAATTTCTCAAATTGCGAGCTTTGTCCCAACTTATCTGGGTATCTATGTATCCAGAATAGCTATCATTGCAATTCCACATGATAAACGAAGTTGCTTGAGTATATAAGTAGAAATCTCACAAATAATTCAGCTTTTTCAATAAACACTTTTGAGAAAATCTTTCAAGATAGTTTATCACTGAATGAAGAACACATGAATCTAAAATTACCAAGATGAGTTATGCCAATGGGAACTTCAAGAAATCTATTTAGCGAAGTGGACAAAGTAGAAATAATCTTGTGCACATGGCTAAATGACTCATCATAGTCACCTTAAGTAATTATTTTTATGAAATTTACCTAACATTAATGACCAAGCATAAAATTTTTTAGTGAATTTATTTTGCTCTCATATTTGAACATTCATTCCTATTTTGCATCTTGCTACAATTTATCATTTTACAAACATGTCATTTTATAACTATAATGCTAGTTTTTAAAAGAATTTTCTATTATCAACTACCCATTAGTTTCTATCACTAAATTATTCAAATAAAGCCCAGAACTTAAAATCCTCTCTCCCAAAATAACAGCACTTATACTGGTTCCATAATATTGCTTTTACTGTGAACTTTCCTAGATCCAATTTACATGTGAATTTTCAATGAGTAACTCACTGTCCTTGAGCTACATTTAACATTTTCTCAAAGCAGGAGGTCCCTGGATCTTCGGCCCTCTCAAAAGGAAAGAACTGATTTAGTAATATTTAATGTGGTTACCATATATATACATATATATATATTTGTATGTGTATGTATATACACACATATATGAGACATTAAAAGGATCAAAGTTTTATATAAAGCTAATCTAAATCAGTTCTCTTAATAAATTTACTTGAAATGTAACTAAATGCAACAGAATTCCTGAAATTAAAATCAGATATTGACAAAATAATGTATACTCCTTTCACCTACTACCTGCAATCACTGATTTCAGAATACAGTTGACCCTTGAACAACACAGGTTTGAACTGCGAGGATCCACTTATACACAGATTATTTTTTATCTTGTAAACAGATGACTTAAACTCACACTTATCAGTAAGTATAGTACTATAAATGTATTTTCTCTTCCTTATAATTTTCTTAATGACATTTTCTTTTGTCTAGCTTACTTCACTGTAAGAATACAGTATATAATACATATACAAAATATGTGTTAATTGACTGTTATCAGTAAGGCTTCTGGTCAACAGTAGGCTATTAGAAGATAAGTTTTTAGAGAGTCAAAAATTATACATGGAGCCCGGTCAGCATGGCTCAGTGGTTGAGCATCGACCCATGATCCAGGGAATCCAGGTTTGATTCCCAGCCAAGGCACATGCCCAGGTTGCCAGCTCAATCGCCAATAGGGGATGCGCAGGAAGCAGCCGGTCAATGATTCTCATCATTGATGTTTCTGTTTCTCTCCCTCTCCCTTCCTCTCTCTGAAATCAATAAAGACATATTTAAAATATATGTATAATCATATTATTAAAAAAAACATTATACATGGATTTCGACTGTGTGTGGGTCGGCACCCCTAATACCCACATTGTTCAAGGGTCAACTGTATAAGGGAATTACATATAAGTTAATTAATAACTTATTATGTTGAGATTAGATATATACTCTAAACATGTTAAAGAAAGCATATAAATGAGAACTACGTCATTTTTTATGCCTGAACAATGTCTTAACAATATGCCTGAACAACATTTTGTTTATGCCTAAACAACAATCAAAATAAAAATGACCAGTAGCTTTAAAAGTCTAAGAAGTGACTTCTGCTACCACCAACTACAAACCTACCTGCCTCCACGCCCACCCCATCCTTCCCTCCTGCTACAATTAAAGAGGCAGCCCACCAATGTCCGCTTCAATACAGTGCAATCCGAAACTGCAGATTCATCTGTGGCTTGTCTACCTAGGCCTGCCCCCAAGAGCAAGTCCCAGTCCATCCCCATGACCACCCTGTGGAGCCACAAGCGGAGGCCTGGCAGGGAGGAGGGATGACCAGCCGCAGGCATCCTCGCCGTGACCTCCTGGGAAAAGGAAAGGGTTTTCTGGTCCCTGCAGTTCCCAGCTTCATGGGTGTCATTGGGAGTTCAGTGTAAACTGGGAAGAACATGCCCAAAGGGAAACCAGGAAAGCAGCTCTTCACCTAAAAAATGCTCTCTCTGCCTCAGGTGTACATTCTTTGGTAGAGAAACAGAATTACCATTATGTGACTATATTAATAAAAGAGAAGTGGATGCGATTTGTGATTTAGAACTCAAGAATGTAGAGCCTAAAAAAAGGAAACTTGCAAGTGGGTTCCTTGGGAAGAACTGTTCCACTGGACCCAGGGTTTCCTGGGAACTGCGCTGTTGAAAGGAACAGGCTACAATCCACAACAAAGAATGACTTGTGAGGGGAGGAGGGGAACGCCACGCAAACGCAAACTGGAGAATCCGAAGACAGCAGCGCGTTCATATAGGCCTAGCAGCCAGTAGTTACTGATGCTATTTTGGCCCATATATTGAGAAAATGCTGACACACACATGCAGGGCAAAGGCAGGGCTACAAAAAGAAATTAGTTACCCTAACAGGACGACTAGAAGTTCTTATTAACTTTTAATGTGTAGAATAACTTAGAGTATTTTTTAAAATATTTCTTTAAAAGATAAAATTTGATTTGAAAAAACAGAAATATTTAAGTAAGACATATGAAACCCATGAACAATCAGTTGTAAAACTAAACTAAATGGTAGGAAAGCTTCCTTTTAAGTACTAACAGTCTATGATTATTTTCCTTACACTTAAAAAATGTGAATATTGGTAAAATACTATCATAATTTCAGAATAAAAATATGAGAAGTCTGACTTAATAAAAACTAGATATATTAACAATTAGATGGAAGTAATTTCTTAAGGCAGTAGTTCTCAGACACTTGGTTTCAAGACTCTTTATATTTTTAAAATCCACTGAGGACCCCAAAAAACATTTGTTTATGTGAGTTATATGTTACCAGTGTTTATCATAGTAGAAATTAAAATTAAGACATTTTAAAATATTTATTATTCATTTCATCTAAAATAATATCTTAACATATTTTTATGAAAACAATATATTCAAAACCAAAAAATTTAGTGAGAATGCCACTGTTAATATCCAAGTCCATTAATTCTATTATTTATGCCATTTCTGGGTCTATTTCTATTGATTGATGTTTTCACATTCATTATTTGATGTATTTTCTTACTTCTTTATGTGTCAGACAACTAGAAAAATGTAGCTTAATTGTAAAGAGAAAGCAAGATAATTTTATTCTTTCATTTATTCATAAGCAGATTTCATTCATTCAACTACCATTTTTTAATGGTTTTGCAATAAATAATATAATTTCATCTTATATCTCAAAAATGTTATTAATCCTTACATAAAATAAATATAATAATCTAAATCAAATTAATAAAATAGAGTGACTATCTTATGTTCAATTCTTATCTCAACATTCATCTAAAAAATGAACTCAGGCCTTTTACTGATATAAAAATAAAGCTAAGAGTAATGAGAAATTTTCCCACGCCATAAAAAAGAAAACTGTACTTGAGTTTCATTTCTTTCTTTCATTTGTAATGTTCTTATATCAAAGAAAAAGAGGTTTTAAAGCCAATAATAACAGTGACAGTAATAATTGTTCCTATTTTAAATAAAACCCAATGGCTATTTTGGCTGAACAGAAAAATAACCTTTTCTTAATGTCTACAGTGTTTGTGTTATCAGTTGATTGTGTAATTAGCCTTAATACAAATGTTATCTTATTAGTTCACTGTTCTATAAGAGCCCTGTTACTGAGAGGAAAGAATCAAAAATTTTTAACTTACTGTTTTAGTGCCGTGCTTTAGCGTTATCTCATGAGAGTCAGGAATCTTTTGGACAGGATTCTGAAAAAGGAAAATTCCATGACATTGGAACTACAGACCACATTCACAAGAAACATAATTTTTAAAAATCGCATCATTGACATTTTAACACAAAACTTTAAAAAATCAGGAAATTAACCCTGGCCAGTGAGTGTGGCTCAGTTGGTTGGGTGTTGTCCCTTGCACCGAAAGCTTGCTGGTTCAATTCCCAGTCAGGGCACATGCCCAGGTTGGAGGCTCGATCTCCAGAAGGGGATGTGCAGTAGGCAGGTAATAAATGTTTCTCTTTTCTCCCTTCCCCTCTCTCTAAAAATCAATAAACTATTCTTTAAAAAAGAAAAATCAGAAAGTTAAAAGTGTGAAGGTATCTTATTTCTGCATATCTAGATAGATCATTATGAGCTATTAATGAATTTATGTTTAATCTCTAAAAAGATAAACCTAAAAAATGCTCTAGATTGTATGAAACCATAAGGCCCTCTCAGCATCCAAAATATATAAAGTCCTCTTTTCATTGGTACTTTGGCATACCTTAAAGTGCTTATGTACTTAATTTATAAAAGACAACAAACTCTGCACAGGATATATACATACATACCTTTTAACCCATAAAATTTTAAAAAACAAAAACTGCTGTTCAAAAATGGTATGAATAAGGAACTGAGTCATTCACTGATTCAGTGATTCAACAAACGTTTATTAAAGGGAGATTATACCAGATGCTAAGTGACATCAGACACAGCCTCTACTCATCCTGCCTCTTAAGAAGTATACCGTCTAAGAGGGAGACATCAATGACTCTAATTCAGTATAACAAATGCTATGACAGACAGAGGTCTGGACAGAATAAGTGAGGAATAGAAAAGATGGGTGGCAAAAAACAAACATAAAAGGTCACAGTGACCACTTGAATAAAAAGTTTCAGTTAGTCAAGTCTCTATTATCCGAGAGCAGGGTAGTCATACTAAAATTCTATGGCCATTACACATTCATGTTAGCGTTATCTTGCAATTTACCTTATACTTAAATATGTACAATGTGACAAGACTTTGGTCCCTAAGTCCCCTCACTGTTTAGGATCCCTGACCAATCAATCAATCACCAGTTCTAGTTTATGCTCAGTCTTTCCCCTACTACGGCTCTTTCTCTTCAGCATATAAACAATTAAAGTACCTCCCATATCACACACACACACTCACTCACTCACTCACTCATATCAGTCTCCCTACATAACCTGCTACATCACTGCTTCCTGTTTTGCAATCAAGTTTCCTCACACTACAGTTTCCACTCAGTATCTCTACTTCCTTCCACCCTCTACCTCTGCAACTTTGGCACTTGTCATTTAATTCCTAGAGCCTAGCACAGCTCTTGGAACTTAAAGAGACTCTCAATAAGTATTATTAAATAAACAAGTCACTGGAAATGCCCCGGGACACTCTTCGGAACTCACCTGCACACCTGACTTTTCAGAGCATGACAACTAAGTTATTCCCTCTATTCCAAAACTCTTTTTTCTGAGGAGGAAACAGTGTTAACTCAGCTCTGCCACTCATTCGCTCTCATAACCTCAGGGGAGTTATGTCTGTCAGTCTCCGCATTTGCAAACTGAGGATAATAGCGCCTGCTCCTAATACAGAGTTTGGCACAAAGCAGGTGCTCAATAAATGCCAGCCACCATTTATTCCAAGGCTCACCTCTCTCTCTGGTCATGTTAGCTCAGTCCACATCCAGGCTTCTCCTCCCTTTACCTGGCTAACTCCTGTTCATCCTTCACAACTCGGTTCAGATCTGATCTGCTCCGGGAAATATTTCTCAACATGTCAAACTCTGGGTTAAATGACCCTTCTGTGTACTCCTAGGACAACCTCTCCTTGTCTCTGACACAGAACTTATCTCAACACATTCTAATTTTTGACCTGTCTCCCTCCCCTCCACTCTCTAACCAAACCACAAAATAGACACTTCTCAAAAACTGTGTGTATAACTATCATCTCTAGATCTCCAATCCACAAAACAGCTGCCGTACCGCAGGCACACGCAAAAGTTTTTGGAATGAATTAACGGCTTAAAGCCTACCTTATAGATCACATTAGGTTGTAATTTTTAATTTACCTTCAAACATTAATGTTTATGTCCATTAAAAAGAGCAGGTGCTATCCCATCAGGTGGAGCCTGGTAAATGAGAGTTGGGGGAATAAGTGAAGATTTTTAAAAAGTGAAAACCTCTGAAGACCAAATGGTTATATCCCAGACTAAAAGCAGATTTAAAGTTGAAAGTAGAGAAACGAAGGCAGTTTTGCCTGAGGCTGTTTGCATCTGAGAGATTACTGTCGTCCATTCCCACCACAGGTCACTGAAGAAGGCAATTAGGAACCAAGAGGCACTGAACAAAACACTACCTCACAGTAACCTATAGAACCGTGGGAGAGTTTGCAGTTTATTTCAACACCAAGAGGCTACGGTATGGTTTATTATGTTTTGGAAACTGCTGCATATACCTATTTCAAAGATGCCAATATTCCAACACAAATTCCAAATTTAAAAGTTGAACAAATGAATTCTAGACTGCCCCTATATTAAATTATTTAAGTCACTACTCCCTTTGCAATTGACAGTGTTTGTAAGCAGTAAAAACTTATGCATAAGTGCTAAGTATTATTGCAAGAAACAGGAGAAGAGGGCAAATGTTTCATTTAGAGAAGAATCTATTATGGTCTGTGTCTCATTTCATAACTAATCACTTTTACATCACTCAGGAAACAGAAACACTGTTGCCAAAAAGAGGGAAGAAAGTTATTTCACTGAGCCTGGCCGGTGTGGCTCATTTTTTGAATGATCCAGGAGATAGCTGTTCCATTCCCAGTCAGGACACATGCCCGGGTTGCGGGCTCGATACCCAGTGGGGAGCATGCAGGAGGCAGCCAATCAATGACTCACTTATCTTTCTCTCTCTCTCTCCCTTCCTCTCTCTGAAATCAATAAAGATACATTAAAAAAAAAGAAAAATTATTTCACTGAATTCAATGTAGAATGTGCCTATATATAGACAATTTCTGACATTTAAAGAAAAAAACTTACAAGAACACAGAACAACTTGGTATTTACATTAGAAGTGAATTAAATATTTAAATAAATGTTTACGTTTAAAATCAAAGTTTTACTGGAAATCATGTAGGGCATAATTCATAAAAAGCTCATATAATTGGCCCAACTAAATCATCTAAAATAGTGGCAATCCATCTTTTGGTAGCGTATCACTTGATGGTGACTGTTCTTTTTCCAGAACTTTTACTAATGACTCTTTGAAATATGACTTAGTGCAAAATTTGCTATAACAGTAAAATATTTTCAAGATTTCCCTGCCAGAGGACACCATAAACTACAAGACTTCAATTAAGTAATTTATTACCAGAATTCAAAACAAGAGCTCCAAGCATAAAGGAAGAGGAGGAAAGATACCAGTTTTTGTTTTGGTTTGGTTTTAAATGCCAACCAAAGGATTATTTCCCAGGCTCTTTGGTTTATTCCCAGTAACAACAATGATAGCAAACATATCTGGAATAACATGAGCAATTCCATCTGACGTACATCTTTACAGTGTTTTCAAAAGACTTGCAAATCAGAAATAACCTTTCTGGGATATATAGTTGTCATAAGTTTAAAAAGTAACTTAAGAACTAGTCGGTTTGCTCAGTGGTTAGAACGTCAGCCCTTGGACTGAAGGGTCCCGGGTTCAATTTCAGCCAAGGGCACATACCTCGGTCGCAGGCTCAATCCCCAGCCCTGGTTGAGATGAGTGCAGGAGGCAATCAATTGATGTTTCTCTCTCTCTCTCCCTTCCACTCTCTCTGAAAAGCAATGGAAAAAATATCCTCGGGTGAGGATTCAAAAAAAAAACACGAGTAATTTTTTATATATGGTATATATTTTTTACTGTATATCATATATAGTATGGTACTATAACCTATAATAAAAAGTCTACCTAGTAACACAGATCTGCCACAAAGAGGCTGGGAGTTAGAGGGCGAGAATGGGGATTACCAACCAGGACCCTGAAATGCGTGCTACTTTCTCTCAGAAACTATTTGGGAAATGGTTACCAATGCAGTCTAAAATATTGCAGGAAGAAAATACAATTGCCTATCTAATTCTCACAGCTGGTTTCAATCCTTCAATTAGTAGTATTCCCAAACCACCTCTAAATTACCGTCAAACCGTTTAATGCCGTATGGCAAGCTGCAATCTTGGAGGACATTTCTCAGTAACACTTCAGAGTACACTGTTAAATAACTTTTTATACTTGTGTAAGGGCTAAGAAACTCCAAAAGGATAGTTCATTCTTACATTTTATCAGAAATTATATTGTTTTTAAACTCCATGAGATTGTCAATAAACACAAAAATGATAATTTTCTGTTTATCATACAATAGCAGGTAATAAGCCAACAGGATTTATATCAAACGACACATTTGTTTTCAGCAGCTACCACGAATGTATGCCTTACCACTTCCTGACACCCTAAATTTTTTTTAATTTTAATTTTTCAATTACAGTTTACTTTCAATATGATTTTGTATTAGTTTCAGGTGTACAGCATAGTGGCTAGATCATCATATACATCAGAGTGTTCCCCCTGATATTTCCAGTACCTGCCTGGCACTATCCATAGTTATTACAATATTACTATGTTCCCTGTGCTGAACTTTACATCCCCATGACTACTTTGTTAACTACTGAGCTGTACTTCTTACTCCCTTCACCTCTGTTACCCAGTCCTTCACCCCTTCCCCTCCCCTCTGGTAACCACACTAAAATTCTATGAATATTTTAGCTCTTATTCTTATGATTTGAAATCTAAACAGGACTCTGCGATTAACTGTGTGCAACCTAAGCTTTTACACTTATAAAAGTGAAAGTGTAAGGCTAGGTAATTCATGACATTCTACGATGACATGGTTTACCTTAAACGTATTCACATCTGGAACTATGAGCACTTCTGTATGTCACTAAGAAGTCCT